CTCATCCCTCTGTTTTGCTACATATCTTAAATGGTATTAATCACCTGAGGGAGGTGTCTTTCTCTTCACCGATAGACAGAATGTAGATGATTGTTTTGACTCCATGTCTGATCTAAGAAACTTGCTCAGAACTTAAGGTAGTTACAGCTGGGGCGCAGTGGTGTTTTTTCACCTCTGATAGCCTAAAACCCTCAGCTATACATTTTCTCTCCTATTGGTCTTAGCCCATTTATTTTCCTGCAGGAGAAGAGGTGCTATTACGTATATCCTGACCTGGGGTGCTTTGGGGGAAGATTCCTTTTCCCCATTCCCAGAGGTGGCGTCATGAGGAAGAACATATTGTTAAGGAAGGCGATTTAGGGAGTGATGAGGTTCTGGGCACTTCTGTGCTCTCTCCTGGCCTGTGTAAGTACAAGCTTCTAAAAGAAGTCTCTCTGCTTCTGGAGGACAGCAGAGACCTGTCTGATTCTTGCAATTGCCTCGGTTGGGTGCCCTCAGCCTGGAGATGGGCTAGTGTGGCAAGCGGTGATTCAGAGGAAGATCCCCCCCAGGTTATTATTCAGTAATTTTCCTCACTTCTTAGAAATGCTTATAGCTTGGGACTTTCATCCATTGTGACCAGGTTAATTTTAAACATGAATACTAACAACCATTGCATGTTGATCTTATAGTGACATTGTTTATAAGCATGGTCTTGTGCCAAGTGCAGTTTGACATGTTTATGGATCTTGATTACAGCTGACAATGGCAAGGATGTCATATCCACGTTACAAGGAAATTGTAACCACAAGCAGAACTCAGGTGAAGAGACTTAAGAAAACTACCTTTAGATGTATACATACCGATTGTCAGTGTACTGCAGATCTTCCTTTGTTGCCTTTCTTTTTTCTTTTTTTCTTTTTTTCTTTTTTTTTTCTCTTAGGTGCCATAGATGACCTGTTAGACCTGCAGCCTGAAGAAAATGGTATGAAACATTTGTGCACGCCTGTTTCATCTGCTTTTCAATTACAGGCACCAAGTATAATTTTAATCTTAGATCTTAATTGTTTTCATAATCTGAAAGGTTGAATGAAGTTATTCAGTTGCAGTATTTAAACAGTGTTAAAGGAAACTCAACTTCATATACATGCAGAGGCACTGTTCCTGATGTTATAATGTGAAGTAAACCTTACTGGGGATAAAATGCATTGTAACAGGTGATTCAAGGTTAGGTATACCGGACTATATCATATTTGCCCCACTGAAGTAGGTTCCACTGTAAACCTTACCCCTCCTATAACATTTCACAAACTTTTCTTTTTGGTTCTTTAGTTGTTGTATCACAACCCTTGGCAATAAACTAGTAACCACAAGATTTTATATCAGAAACGTACGTATCGGAAACAACTGATTTAGTCCTCTTAAAACCATATAAGAATTGGTGATTTCTTTCAGCTAGATACTTAATTAAATCTGCTGTGCTGTTTTCATACACACAGGAGAAAGCAATCTTTCAGTCCAGGCTCTACTCCTATCCTTATGCTTTTGTTAGATCAGTGGCAGCTCAAGGGCATGTGCTAGTTTTTTCCAGAGGGTACTGTTTTACCATGTAACATATGAAAGATCTGGCTAGAAGTTTTATACTGAGTTTTCGTATGCAGTAAGAGTATTGCCTATAATTTCTCATTTGCTTTTCACTCATATATCTCAGAAGAATGAGTAAAAAAAACTTCAACAACAACAAAAACAACTGTGGCAACTCAAAAAGCAAGTAAAGAAGCAAAGAAAAAAAAACCCTTTCTGCGGTTTAGTCAGTCAGACTGAGAATGTAATTTGGGGTATTTAAGGCACTGCCATCATGGGAGATAAGGAAGAGAGCATTTGCAAACACCTCGACTTTGGATTTGCCGTGGTCAGTCTCTTGCACTGTGGGGAAATTCCCCATGTGGGGGATCACCCATGAAGGCAGAAAGGGGGAAGGTTCCTCAGCTGCCTGTGCAGAAGGCAGCCCTAATCTGTGCACAGATAAGGTAGCGATGACTTCTTTTCTGTGGTTAATAAAAAAGGTCAGTGCTTGTCTGAGAGTGGCCTTTTTTATTCTGGTTTCCCCCTTACTCAGTTCCATTCCTTGTTGGACCTTCTTAGTGGAGATACAGATAATGCATGCAATTATTGCTCATACAAGTTTAGCTTTGGCAGTTAGATGGCTGGTTTTTTTTTTTTTTCTTTAGTCAAATAGTTAGATCAATACGAAAGCAGTTGTGGGGCGGCTACATCACATAAGGATGGTTACATTCATGTTACAATATCAGCTATTTACCCTAATTTTACACACTGGCTAGCTTTAGGCTAATGAATATTGTATTATTTTAAGTGCAGCAGTATAGTTAGAGGTACATTTTTGTGTGTGTTTCAGAAGGAAGTCTTTATCCTGTGTTTCCGATCATGTATCGCTGTAAATATTTTTAGTTTCTCTTTGCATTTAATTTTTTTAAATACCAGCAAAACAAGGCATGTTTGCAAAGGAATATGAGCATTGCTAGAGGCTTGTTCAAACAACCACAAAAAAGAATATAGTGACATTGTTTTTTCAGTGTTTTATTGGGAGTTTTGGGGTTTTTTCCATGGACATTTATAAGGTTAGGGGCAGCATGTGCAGACAAAAAAAGGATTTTTGACTGTGAAAATGGGCAGTGAAAACAGAGAACCAGGAAAAGAAGTAGTAGATGATTTATGGGTGAGGTGAGAAAGTCCCTATCATTCTAGAAATCTAGCAGAGATACCACATGAGTAATATCTTGATGAGCAAGACTGGTTTCAAGATAATCTTGTTGCAAACTAGAGTAGAACTTACTGGTGCTTACATGAGGCAGCCTGAGCATAAGCACCACCCTATCCTCCCCTGCCCCGGGGTGCGTCGTCCCTGCAGGAAGATCAGAAAGACTGCTGAGACAAGAAATGTGTCACTCCTCTGGCGTCTGGTGGTCGTACGCACTACTGCAAGACCTAACTGCTCTTCAGATGTAAAGTTATATGTTGTACTTTCTCCCCCAGTAAAAATGGGACTACTGCAGTGGGACACCCAGGTGAAGTAGAGCTTTGCTCTGAGCTGTGTTGCTGCAAAGCCTTTGTTCCATTATAGTAAATGTCATTTGTGGTTAGGTACACTGTTGGCGGTATGCCTTAGCAGATCTGTTACTAATGATGCTCTCTTTGCATCTCCCCCTGTAAGCCTTCCAAGTTCATGCAGGGGCCTCCTGAAAGCAGCTTTGAGATGGTGATGCCCCGAAGAGATCAGAGTTCTTTAGTGCCTTTGAAATAGCAAGTGACTTTCCCCTAAGGAAGTCTGCCTCACCTGCTGAATAGCTTGGGGGAATTGTAGGTGCTTGGACAACGTTAACATTCTTTGCTGTTTATCTGAAGATGGGAAAGCAGCCTGAAAATTCATGAGAACAAATTTTTTTCTATGGTATTTTAGTTATAGTCTAGTGGAACATCAGGAGAATTGACGTGTTTGTAATGTTTCTGTTTCTAATTTTTGGGCCCTGTCAGGGAGTACAGAGGTATATGAAAATGTGAATTAGAAAGGAGCTGAATCTCAGAGCTGACTTCAGTAATGAATAAAATCTTTATATTACGCATTGGTTTATTTGTTTCTTAGTACGTAGGTGTGTATGCTGACTCATCAGCCTATTTTAAAACACAGTTTTGCACTTTTTTCCCTCCTGTGACTCAACTTCAGCCATTTCATTATAAATTATTACAGCTATTAAAAAGGAACTTTCCTGAGAATGCCGTTGCATTTAAATAAAATGGCCTGTTGCAACCACTTTGCTACTATCAATCTTTTATCCCAACCCAAAAGGGTTAAAAACATCTTTTGCAAGTTGTATTCAACTCGCAGAGCTCAGCTGATCTATCCGAATTTTGGAAAACTGAAGTTCCTTCTGTGCCTTACCACAAGTTTGAAACGAACATAATTAAGATAAACTGATCTGGGTTTCGGTAACATAGCATTATCAACGTTGTTAACCACCATTTTTGTCCTCTGCATACTCCCACAGTGGAGCTCTAAATGTTTCCAAGTAAAATAACACTTGGGGTTCCTTGACAGTTCTTTCACTCTCCAAATATTTTGTAAGCTAGAGAAAAGGATTATGTTTCTGGTTACAAGCTTCATGTATTTTATATAACTGTTTAACATTTCTAAAATAGGAAAAATTGTTTTTAAGGAGTAATGGCTTGAGTGATCTAAGAGCTTCTTCACTGTAGTTCTGGTGCTAGAAAAACTAGCAAGGGGAATCAGAAGGAAAGTGGCCCCAATTATTTCTCAGCAGCCTAAGAGAGGAAAAAAAAGTTACTACAGCATTGAACAGTGTAGAAATCTCTGTGTAGAGTAACCTGTTCTCTTGGGGAAATACCCCAATAATTCAAGCATTGGTCAGAAGGTCATAAAGGTCATCGTAAGTATGTTCTCACAATTATTCTAGAATAATCCCCAGCTCTTACTTATTTCCAAGTTATACCAATCTGATTTTTTTTTACAGTTTTATATAATCCTTCAAAAAGCAACATAAAAGTAGTCTTCTCCAATGTTTTAAATATTAGACTATGTAATGATTTTGGTGTGGTGTGTAATAGATTTTTAAGCATACTTATTGTTTTTAATGAGAAATGAGTCTTAGCAGCAGTGAGGTTATCTAAGATAACCAAGGAATTACTTGTTGCGTAAGCTATAAGCCCAGGTGTCCAAGAGCATTGGGTCTAAAAGAGAAACAACAAATTCACACAAAAATATTACATCTCACTTAACATACAAAACCTAGATTGGATGTTTTAAACAGGTTCCTTCGTTGTTTGTCTAAAAAAGGATTTATCTTGACTCTCTTGTTCTGAGACAGCTTCAAAGGATCAGTTTGTGAGGTCCTTGGAGTCAGAACCTGGTGATAAGGATGACATGGTATTACTGAACGAGATCCTCAACGCTTCCTCCCTGGACGAGGGGGAATTCAGCAAAGAATGGACAGCTGTTTTTGGGCAGGTTGCACTTGCTGATCTCACCATGAACTCTTCAGCTGGAGATGTGGAGAACACTTTATCATCTGTGGCACCAACACCATCAGGCTTCTTGCCCTCACAGCTGTTAGACCAAAACATGAATGACTTGCAGTCGTCTTTACATGGTGAGAGCTCATCTTGTTCTGTTAGTATTTTGGTTTTAGATTTTAGAGTATGGTTTTCTGCTGTGTAGAAGTGTGGTGACAGCTTATGTTGTGCCATAGCTGCAGAAACCCTGAAGTTAAAGCAGAGTGTGGCCTGGACAAAAACATGTGAGTAGCGCATTCGATTTTCTAGCCCTGCTCATTCAGTGTTTGTGAACAAAGTACCCTAAAACCTGAAGTCAAAATTACTGTTTTGAATATTTTCATTGAGCGTCCTGCAATGTTCTGTAGGCCTTTGAGACGGGTTTTTTTTTCTGTAACAGAAAATCTGTTTGAGTGGGTTTTACTGTTTAAATTACAACTGCTGTCTCTGTTAAGGGGCCAAATAACCAAAAATGATTACTGTATTTTGTCTGGGAATACTATTTTTAAACAACTTAGTAAAAATTGATTGCATTCATTCATTTTCTTGTTTTTTTCAGTGATCCCACACTATTGCGTGTAGGGGTATGGGTAAGGTAGAATGGGTTGTCTCATCCTAGCAACAGTACAGGTGGATTCCTCTTGTAGGCAGGTTATGTACTGATGCAACTCTTTCTCTCCCCTTTCTTCTATGCAGTTCATTTTCTTGGGTTTTCCAAGCTGCTCCTGGGGGCAGAGGAAAGGAAAGAGGGAACTAGGGCAGAGCTTTCCTGCTGCCGCTTTGGCCTTGAGGAAGGGAGGGAGGGAGGCAGGCTGGTGATAGCCAGCCAACAGCAGCTACCTTCATCCTCCCCACAGTCTGGCTAGATTTCTCCTATGGCTTTGCAAGCTGGAGGAGGAGCTTGCCTTTTTGGTCTCCGTCCCAAGTCATTTAAATCTCATTTGGGGAAGAGTGATGTAGGAAAGACTAGCAGGCTGATTCCATCCTGAAGACTACTCCTTGGAACTCATGCAACTGGTACAATCATACATGATGTAACACGACCTGTGGCATTTTGGCAAGAATAAGAAATTCAAACTTACAATTAATACAGTTACCACCACCACCCCTAAAGCAAGATATTTGGGTTCACTGACTTCAACA